TCCAATAGCCTGCAAAATTGGACACCTGCCTTCCCCTCACAAGTTAAAAACCACTTGCCACATCACACAAAGCACCAACTTTTGTAACAGCTCATATTAGAGATTTCTGGTGCCCCTGAGAGTTGTCAAGCATAAGGTACTTTGGACTAAAAACTATAGAACTTGTTTTTAATAACAAAATTTCTTCCTAAATTCAGTTTGCAATTTGCTTCTTGTAGCAACAGATTTGGAGTGAAAGAGCCCTTTACAGAAACTTATTTTCTTACATATAATTAGGCCATTTTATAAGATTTACATTACTAGTTTATAATCAGTCTGTCCAGCTTAGAATCTTATTTAGGTAGTGAGCCGTAAGATTGTAAAGGATAACTTTATCATGCTTGATATCTATTGTGCTTATTTTTGTCCAAGAGGAACATCTCATAGCACTGCTTCCCAAATGTTAAGAGGTAAAGTTTTATAATTTAAATTAAAACTAATAACATATGGATTTGTATGGCATCTTCCAAAAGAATAAAAAAAAAATACTGTATATTTCAGTTATTTGTGAATCAGGCATGGGAATAATTTCACATGCTGATGAAATTCAGCTGGTCCTAAGGTGAATAATGACAACAGTTCAATGGTGCATGGCTGTGCTAACAGTAAGAAACAGACATCATCTATTTAAAATGGCTAGAGAACTATTTAGGGAAAGTGCCACTGCCAGAGGTAGAATTGTCCTAAACACAGGGATTTATTATCTAATAAATTCCATGTATCCCTTTTTGGGGATATACATACACTTCTTGTTCACTTAATACTACCTGGGGCTGTAGGAGCAGCAGGATATTGAGGGGTTGCTGTGGTTTTTAAGGTTGAATGTATGAATTGTGCTGTCTCCCACTAGTGGGTACCAATGCTTTTTTTTGGCCCGTAGTTCAGGCGTGCCAAATGCCAAATACAGGAGGGACGTTGCCAAGCTCAAATGTGTGACAGTGGACAAAAGTGGGAAATAAATTACCAGTCTTTTACCTATATGAGAAGCTTTATGGCTCAGCTTACAGTGATGAAGCTCTGTGAGGAAAATGATCTCTTTTTCCATCAGAGTGTGCTTCATAATTTAGACTATCTGGAAATTAGTAGGAAAATGACCATTGTATGACTCAAGGGTGAAGCTATGGTAGGAACTTCATCTTCTTTCCGTTTTCCCATAAAGATGACACTTTTACCACTTTAGAGGTTGTCCCTGCGCACTCTTTGTGAGGCTTTTAATATTACACTCTATCAGTTGCAACTTATAAATTTTTTTGAAGAATGGTTTAGAAAATCAATCCAGGAAAAATGCTGGATGGACTACTTTTGAAAGTTTTGTTAAAAAAAAAAAATTAAAAATAGTGTATTTTGGAACCTGAAATATAACCATTTCAAGTAACCATATCAAACCAACTATAGCAACTGCACTGTCACTTCTAGTTACACATTCAAAGAGTTTGATATTTTAGAAATTATAAGAGTTCTACATACTGTTTAATTTATTTCAGGTTCTGTGGTCTTTGGAATTGGGCCATTGGATCTCAGAGGAACCATATGAGCTTTCATCCAGCTTCCCTGCAGCTCCTGTAAGTTTAATGGCTCTTTAAGCTTGTGAACTTTCTTTTCTTTATGTGGAAAATGATTGGCTCTCTAAATAGGCTTTCTGAACAAGAAGACCTACTAGAAAAAATGTATTTTAAAAGCAAATACTGTAAGGAGTCTTTTCTCCTTCGACCACTATTTTTTGAAGTGTGTGCAAAAGCTGTGGTATGCATGGAAAATGCAAAATAATGATTCACCATTTCACATCTGAATAGACTAGCTTTTTATTTAAGTATAAATGTCCTTTAATGTATTTGTGGCATATTTTATTTCTATCTGTGCTTGTATATAAAATGGAGAGGCATGTTAATACCTAATGAAAAGATTGTTCAGGTCGTGGACTCAATAGTTTCAGTCCAGAAAGTACTTGGACAATTGGAAAATTACTGTGGGCTTTTAAAACTACTAAGTAGGTAAAATGAAGCATTTTTCCTGCCATTAATGATTGTTCTCAAGTACTGAATTGTGAACTAGTGAAAAGTGTGTATGTGGTGGCATGGTGTATCTGTGCAGACCTAAGTGCATGTGGACTCTATATGTTGTGATTGATTAAACTGTAATTTTATTTTGGTTTTAATAACAAGAGGAATTCTAGGAGGTTACTAGTCAATGACTCTAAGAGTTTTGCCAAAAGACATTTCACAATTTCTCTTATATTGTAGCAGCTAGTTAAATATATTATCATCTGCTACTTGTTGCTCAAAGTTTCATACGGGCTTTGAAGAAAGAGCATTTAATGGAGTTTGAACTTTATATATTTTTGTTATAATTTTATTAATTTTTAAGAACTTATTTTTAACATTCTTTCCAAACCTATAATTTATGTAGCTTAATGTTTTCAAGATGAAGACTTTATTTGATAAATTGTATGTTCTCAAAGAGTAGTGAAACTGCAGCAGTTATTCTGAAATAAGCCTAAAGAAATTAATCATCCATTATAATGTCATCTTTTTTCCGAACAGGTGAAGTAGATTTTTTTGTATAGTAAATATACTAAGAATGGTAAAACTTAATGTGAAAAAAAATAAGCAGCATGTTCTTTTTTTCCCTTCTTTTGAAGAACAAAGTACTTCACATTAATGTGATTTGAGTTTTCTGTTTCTTCTCAGACTACCTTGTTTAATAACCAAGCATGGTATCAGTAACAACTTACAGAACATTCTTTGGAAATTATTCCTGTTGGGGTTGTTTTTTAGATTCTGTTTACAGTTTTTATTCCTGAAACAGAAGAGGGCTTGAGAGGTGGTGAGAAGATAAAATTGAGGGAGGTTATGCTTGTGCTGAGAATCTGAATTGCTTCTGTTTGCAATGTGCTCCTCTTGCAGGGGAACAAAGTCAGTGTCCAAGGTCATATTTCCATCACCTTTCCAATTGTTCCCTATTTGAGTCATTCTGGTTTCTTAATGTAACAGATATCTTAAAGATACGATTATTATTTGAACATGAACGGTGTTTATATTCCCTTTCTTTTCTTATTCTTTCTTTTCTGTATTTAGAGAAAATGGAAGTGCATTCTAGTTTTATATACCATTTATTTGATTACAGGAAGGAATTAAAAGAAGGGATTATCTCGTTGTTATATCTTAGTTGTTTGTACCAAGTCCAAAGCAGTTGTTGCAGCCTTCTTTTTCCTTTTTCCTTCCAAAATGTCTTCTCACTTCACTTTGGTGTTTGCAGTTTAAGCCATGCAATCTCACTTAGATAAAATGTCCTTTAAAAATATATTCACTCTAAAATTTTACATTCATGTTGATAAATTATTCCATTTTCCCAGAAAATGAAAGTCTCAATAAGCAATTGATTTGTTCCATGTCTACACAATGTCTTCAATCACTTTCCCAGAATAGTCATCAAAAAGCCTTAAGCTTAATAAAGACTTTTTTCCAACAAACCAAAACTAGCCATGCAATGTTTAATTATTCTTGTTATATAGTGTTTTCTTACAAAAATATTGAAGGTTAACATCAAACAGAAGGTAGACCTATTTCCTTTGCCAGGTTGAGCACTCATTCTGTGCCAGATTCCATCATGGTTTTGAAACTTTTAGGTTTTTTGTTGGTTTTTTTTTTTTTTTTTTTTTGGGTGCTTAGAGCCGAAGCCTCTCTCCCACCTTGGACCTGGGGGGGGTTGTGTTTGTTTTTTTTTTTTTTTTTTTTTTTTTTTTTTTTTTTTTTTTTTTTTTTTTTTTTTTGTTTTTTAATTTTTTTTTTTTTTTTTTGTTTTTTTTTTTTTTTTTTTTTTTACATTATTAGGTTGGATATGCTTACTATCTCAAGCATTGGGAGTATTTTCTTTATTTGTCTGATTAAATGCAGTGAAGCAGGAATAACAGTAATCTAGACTCAGCATTTCTATTAAATTTCATAGAAAGGGACCTCTGTAGCTTGTCTAGTTCAATGCTCTGCTCCAAGGGACTTGTCCAGTCCAGCCTCATGTTAATAAACAAATAAATTAAAATGGGAAATACCATTTCCCCAATTTGAACTTGTGTTCGCCGCCTCTTGTCCCGTTGTGGTACACCTTGAAGAAGGGCTTGGCTCTGTCTTCTCTGCGGGCTTGATCAGGCAGTCATAGCAGTAAGGTCTCCCCGACCCCTTCTCTTCTCCAGGCTGAAAAAGGCCATCTCTCTCAGCCTCTATTTGCACACCTTGTGCTTCTTGTTATGGCTACTTTCTTTACTAGCTTGGTGGCCCTCTGCTAGACCCACTCTTTAAGACATTTCTTAGAAATTCATAGTAACAATTTTGAGAAGTATTTTTTTAGTTTGGGGTATGTTTATCCTTAAAAGTTTGCTAGGAGAAACAATAAAATACTTAAACAGTAATCTTAAATACATTCAGATTATTTTATGCATTTCTTCAGATGATGACTATTAATTTACATTCATTAGATTTATTTAAAATCCGATCATGAAGTAATATTAGAAGTATTTTTGTCACTGCTACCCTTTAGTTATGCTGACCCATTTTCAGAGAAGAATGGTGGTGGTTTGAGTGGTGGGGTACTCTTTAATGGCTGTCAGTATGAAATGAAGTGTTTTCTTCCATCTTTCTCCATAATTTACTGTTTTGAAGATACAATACCTTCATTAAGTAAGCCTCCAGAAATACTGTGTCTGGGGTTTTTGTTTTGTTTTATTATGAGATACGGTTTTGCCTTCCAACTAATTCAGTCATCTGCTGAAATTAAAAATTTGCAAAATTATTACTTAAGGCAAAGACTAAGCATGAGAATTATAACTTAAAATTGATTTGGGGAAAAATCTGCACTAAATTATTTTGCGTGATTTATGAAGAAATATCTTCTCAACTCAATATCTTATCAACTCAACTGCAGTGCATAGTACACATTTTTAAAGCATATAGTAATTAAAAAGCAAAAAATCACCCAGTAGAGTAATTTATTCATGTTGTATCATACATTGAGGGCTTACCTACAGAGAATTTCTAGGGAGAAGTCCTTTCTGAAAAGAACCCAACATTATGACCCTAGATAATTTTCAGATATTTTTTTCCCCTCTTTTTATAATGCAGTAATTTGAATTTTAACTCATGAGCATGAATTTAATTGTATCAAAGAATATGCATATGTTTTTCAGTTAGGTTATTTTTACAAAACGTATAGCTGTACTACAGCACCAGGTGATAACTGATTGTCATAAACAACTGAACATTTGGTGTTAATGCCGTTGTCTCGGTTTGTAAAATACTGATCAGTTATTTTACAAGTAAAAACAAGGAAAGGAAAAAAAGTACAATCTTCATAAAAATATAAAGAAACACATACTATACTGTAATGTTCAGGGATTTTTTGCAGCTTAAATATAGTGACTGTAATAAGTACAAACTGAAAGAAATGGTGATTTTTGTACATGGTATTTCCCAAGAATAAATGCAAAGTACTTAAATGCTATCTGTCCTCTGTTAAATAAAGTAATAGAGGCTATTGGCAAAAATCCCCGAATAAGTGTAAGAAACTGTTTAGGAGACTATGGAAGGAAAGAATGTGTTCTTCAACTACAGTATTGAGCTAATTACAGGATGGGGTTTTTTATGTACATAAAAGGCAAACATGACACAGAGATAAATAGTTCTAGATCTAGTTAAGTGTTTTATATTAGAGTAATGTTTAAAGTTCAGTGATGAGGCAAAATGCATATTTCTAAAACTATTTTAGATATTTTTCACAGTTCCAGTTATTTACTAACACATACATAACATAAATGATCGGGAAAACAGAGTCCTTAAGTTCTCTGACAGTTTCTTGGATGTTCTTTTTATTCAGTCATTTGGCCAAATCACTGTTATACCAGGTTGATGCTTTAGACCTTGTGTCTAGTTGAATAATAAGAGCTTTAGCTGATCAAGGCTATTGCAATTCAGGAATTGTAGTGAACTGATCCCTTCAGAACATTAGCGCATGTTTTCTGGGCTTGAAAATGAGACAAGTTGCAGATGTGTGTTTATATGCTCGGCAAATGAAGTCTTTGAAGACTATACAATACATCATTCACATAATGCAAAAGCATTTAGAAATCTGCTGGTCGGATCATCATAGTCGTGGCTTTGAGAGAGTATCCCGAGCCCTTCCAGTAGTACCACTTGATACCGTTGAACTTGTTGTTGTTCTGTCGTAATGGGTAATACATTCCGTTGAGGTTAGAAGGACCACATGCATCAAACCACCATCCTGCCAGACAGTAAACAAACAAAACCATCAGCAGAGGAAAATGTTAGCCCAGGTAATTTTCATAATAGTATAGAAGGACACTTTCTTCTCTTGAAATTAAAAAGAAATCTAAAACCAGGTTTTCATTCGTATGATTTGGAAGTGTCAGTATAACATATGTCCCTCAAACTCTGCAAGAAAACGTATTATGTATCCACTACATACTCTTGAATCTTATGTGATATATAGTAGTTTAAAACTGAGAAGGGAAGGCTTTCAATCAAGCTTAATTTATTGTCGATATCAAACATTATTGTTGACAGTCTCAGGGCAGAACTTGACTTAACTATAACAATATTGAGTCTTCTTTGTTTTTTATCTACTCTTTGGTAAATTCCTATTCTTCACAGATTTGAACTCCTTTCTTAATTGTTTTTAGAGGATTAATTCAGTCATCCATTTCAGTTCTCTGTGCAGATTAGTTTAAGACCTCTGTGCTGAAACTTGGTAAGAAGGAAAAGGAGAAAAAAGGAACCCAAACTTATTTTGTACCCTTGTGGTCCTGACCTGTTAGTGGGTCATAAGGAAAATTTATTTTTATTATATAAAATAATATTTTTATACTTCTGTTATGATGGCGATAATGCATGTGTTCTGTTTTACAGGGCAGTAATCCAATTATCCTTTTGGATAAACTGAAGCTGTCTTTTGTCTTGCAACTTGTGCTATAGGGAAACAAACCACTGCTTAAGAGATAACAGGAAGAGAAGTCAAATTTACAAAGCATTTTGTTTACATTTCAGAATGTGGAATTCTAGATCAACAAATTATAGAATGGCTTGTGTGGTTCAAGATAAAAATACAACCTAAAACTCCAGTAACTAGTGAACAATCATTAGAAAAATATAGATATTTCATATGTGGTGTATCTTAAATTTATGTATGTATTGCATTTCATAATCATAATGAATTACATTTTTGTACCCTTCTGTGGTACGTACAGTATACAGCAGCTTTTGGGGTGGTCTTCTGCTCTGGATAGTTAGGAAATGGGTTTGTGCCTACAGAATCAGGAGACATTTCACTGATCAACTGAACCTCTAAAACAAGTTTTTTATGGGGGTTAAGTGTTTTGATCTCTGGGACTATGTTATCTTATTCCTTGGAAGAGTCTGCTGTTACCCTGGTTTGTTCCACAATTACAGATTTTCTTGCACCCCAACTTGAAAGACCATTTATTTCTCCAGTTTTAACTGCTCTTGTTTTACTTTAACTAACCTTTGTCCAATGATAAAATATTTCCTTTCTAGTCACTATACTAGCATTTATATCTGTGAGTTTTGGACTTCTTCGATAGTCAAAATTCACTTAGTCAAAATTATTACTATTTATCTAACAGACAATTTCAGTGCCAATAAAAATAGGAAGACTGAGAAACATAAAAACATTCCTACCTCCTGTTAGCATTTGTGAACATTTGCAAATACATTTGTCATTGTCTGCATCCTTTGTGCTAAAATCATTTCCTGGTTGGCTTATACTACTTATTTTGCCCGCTGTCCCAGTAAGTCCTTTAAGGTAGATCCTGTAGAAGTGAAGAATGGAAAAACAATTATTATATGGAAGTTAATGGTAGTTGATCTGCAAAATAACGATGGAATAGCTTGCAATAAACATCCTGTTCAAATATTTCAGTTCTCTTCTGGCCAATGTACAGTTGTAAGCTGTTTTGCAGCATAATGTTTTCATAAGAGTGGAAATGGTCAGCACAATATTCCAATGAACAGCCTCCACATTTGTAGAGATGAGTGTTTTATTCATGCCATATTAGAAGAAAATGACAGCAAGTAGATAATAACTCCTGGTATTTTTCATATATATCATGCATTTCTTAATACTCTAAGTACATTGTGTGCAATTATTTTATTTTAATTGAGTACAAAAGTTTAAATCAAAACTTTTTGGATTGTGTTAGCACAACATGGCAATTTAGCATTACAACTTTGCATCTATAAGAGAGAACCTGGACTACTAATTACCAACTAGTAACTGATAATATAGGAGTTTCTCAATTATTTCCCTTTCCGCTTTCCTAATTACTGTCCCTTGTCACATCCTTCATAGATTTATTAGTGGTACAAAAGTTTAAATCAAAACTTTTTGGATGTTAGCACAACATGGCAATTTAGCATTACAACTTTGCATCTATAAGAGAGAACCTGGACTACTAATTACCAACTAGTAACTGATAATATAGGAGTTTCTCAATTATTTCCCTTTCCGCTTTCCTAATTACTGTCCCTTGTCACATCCTTCATAGATTTATTAGTGTTAAATCATAGAATCATTTAGGTTGGAAAAGACCTTTAAGATCATCAAGTCAACCATCAACCTAACATTGACAAGTCCACTGCTAAACCATGTCCCTAAGCACAACATCTACATGTCTTTTAAATGCCCCCAGGGATTTTTCAACCAGTTCCCTGGGCAGCCTGTTCCAATGTTTGATAACCCTTTCAGTGAAGAATTTTTTCCCAATATCCAATCTAAACCTCCCCTGGCACAACTTGAGGTGATTTCCTCTCATCCTATCACTTCTTACTCAGGAGAAGAGACCAACACAAACATCGCTACACCCTCCTTTCAGGTAGTTGTAGAGAGTGATAAGGTCTCCCTTCAGTCTCCTTTTCTCCAGCTCCCTCAGCTCCTCCTCATAAGACTTGTTCTCCAGACCCCTCACCAGCTTCACTGCCCTTCTCTGCACAAGCTCCAGCACCTCAATGTCTTTCTTGTAGTGAGGGACCTAAAACTGAACACAGTATTTGAGTTGCAGCCTCACCAGTCCCGAGTACTGGGGGATGATCACTTCCCTAGTCCTACTCACCACACTACTTTCTGATACAGGTCAAGATGCCATTGGCCTTGTTGGCCACCTGGGCATCCTGCTGGCTCACATTCAGCCAACTGTCAAGCAACACCTCCAGGTCCTTTTCCACCAGGCAGCAGCGCTGTATAGGTCTGTTGTGACCCAAGCGCAAGACCCAAAACTCGGGCTTGTTGAACCTCATTCCATTGGCCTTGGCCCATCGATCCAGCCCATCCACATCCCTCTGCAACACCTTTCTACCCTCAAGCAGGTCCACACTCCCACCAGATTTAGTATCGTCTGCAAATTTACAGAGGGTGCACTTGATCCCCTCACCTTGACCCTTGATAAAAATATCTCTCTGTTCAGTTAGGCCCGTCTTTTTCCCCAGCAGCTCATTTTTTCAGTGCATGGGGACGGCCTGCTCTTGTGCCATTAAGACTTCCTTCTTTAAAAATGTCCAGCCTTCCTTAGGATCTTTGCCCTTCAGGGCTTCTTCTCAAGGGACTCCGTCAACCAGGCTCCTGAAAAAAACTAAGTCTGCCCTCTGAAAGTCCAAGGTGACAGTTCTGCTGACCCCCCTCCTTGCTTCTCCAAGAGTCAAAAACTCTATCATTTCATGATCACTGTGCCCTAGACGGCCTCCAGCCATTGCATGCCCCACAAGTCCTTCCCTGTTCACAAACAACAGGTCCAGCAGGGCTCCTTCCCTAGTCAGCAGTGTCAGGAAGTTATCCCCAACACATTCAAGGAACCTCCTAGACTGTTCCCTCTCAGTCTAATGTAAGCAGAGAATTTTCATTTATTATTATTATTATTAATCAGTTTTTAAAAGACAATTAAATGAGAGGTTTTGACTGGATATCAGGAAAACCTTTTTCACCATGAGGGCAGACAAGCAGTGGAACAGGTTGTGCGATCTCCACCTTTGGAGGTTCTCAAGATCCAGCTGGATAAAGCCCTGAGCATCCTGGTCTGACCTCATAGCTTTGAGACCAGGAAGTCCATTCTGACCTCAGTTTCTCTATGAATCTATGAATTTTGAGTTTTATGATCCAACTCATATTTTTTCCAGCATTCAGAATGTATAATGTTTTCACTGCAATGAAAGTTGCTCTTAATACTTTCTTAGATTTTTTTTTTCCTTTTTCATAATGTTAAATACATTCTTTAATCCACTGCATTCTGTGATGCATTCCATGTTTGGTTGCATTTTAAAGTAAAGTATCTATTTACAGACAACCATCTTAGTCTTCAGTAATTTTTTTAAATATTTTAAGTGGACAAGTAAAGTGACCCATTTTGCAAAGGTTGCCTTCATAAGTATTTTAAAGTATTACTTTAAAAAAATCTCTGCTGTAGATTCTGACTATTTCCAGATGAAAAAATATTTGCTTTGGAGTTGAGACAACTGTATACTACTAAGGCATTGAGATCTAACGTTTTGGGGGAGGGAGATGCTGATAGTTTTGGATTGCTTTGCGTATAAGACTTGAGTTGAAGTCACGGAGAGCATCTCTCTTACAAGGAAAGACTGAGACACCTGGGTCTGTTCAGCCTGGAGAAAACTGAGTGGGGATCGCATCAATGCTTATAAATACCTAAAGGGTGGGTGTCAAGAGGATGGGGCCAGATTCTTTTCAGTGCTACACAATGATAGGACAAGGGGCATCAGGCACAAACCGGAACACAGAAAATTCTGTCCGAATATGAGGAAAAACTTCTTTACTTTGAGGGTGACAGAGCACTGGAACGGGCTGCCCAGAGAGGTTGTGAAGTCTCCTTCTCTGGAGATATTCAAACCCTGCCTGGATGACAAATACCTAAAGGGTGGGTGTCAAGAGGATGGGGCCAGATTCTTTTCAGTGCTACACAATGATAGGACAAGGGGCATCAGGCACAAACCGGAACACAGGAAATTCTGTCCGAATATGAGGAAAAACTTCTTTACTTTGAGGGTGACAGAGCACTGGAACGGGCTGCCCAGAGAGGTTGTGAAGTCTCCTTCTCTGGAGATATTCAAACCCTGCCTGGATGAGAGCCACTGGGTGAATCTGCTCTGGCATGGTAGTTGGACTAGATGATATCCGAAGGTCCCTTCCAAGCTCTACCATTCTGTGGACAGCATCAGATCTCTCGAGTGTCAGACTGACTTTGTTTACAACAAAGAGCTGCTAGACATCTTGGAGAAATTCATCGAAGTAATTTTTCTATCCAGTCACCTAAAGCTCCATGAATCTCTAAGATTCTTATAAAGAAACATTTCCTGGACAATGTAGTAGGAAAGCATCTGTTCTACTGTAGAGTTTCTAGTTTCTTCTCTAAGCAATCAAAAAAACATCAACTGCATTTACAGAGGGACTGTAGAATGAAATATGACCTGCCCATATATTTCAGCTATGGCTGGTACATTTCAAAATGTGTAACGCTATGATACTATTTAAAATGTATAATACTATGATAATATTTATTTAAATATAAAGTATTTAATTAAAGTGTATGTTATTTCCTATTTTAACCAAATACGTAAGAAGAAATTGTGAAGCTTTACATATTACAGTATGATGGGAGCATAAGGAATAGGTCTATTAAAATCTGGTGGTCAAAGTGACAGGTTTGTAGGAAGTGAGACTGGACTTCTACTATTAGCTTCATTTTCTCAGGTAGAATTTTTGTTCTTTGAAAATTCATGCCAGTGGGTCACAGAAGGAGAAGGTAGCATTACCTCAGTGTGCTCTTCACAATGACAGTACAGCTCCTACTAGCCACTAACTTAAGTGGTAAGTCTCCTTGCAGTACTGTTCATCTAAGTCATCTGCCTTGCAGAAATGTCTTTGTTGCCTAGAATCAGGATTTGATAGCAACTGCAGACAGGTTCCTATTACCCTGAATATCGTGCACTGCCATCCACTATACTGGCAAATGTATCCCATACCATCTCTGTGTTACACTCACCCGTTGTGCCCTAATAAAATATACATTGTCTCTGCTGGGGAAAAAAAATTATTGTTTTAAGAAATAGGTGAAAAATGGAGCAAACATTATTTTCTGAGTGAAATGAAAAAATGCCATACTTTGTATGAAATAAGGTCATGCATCTACACAGTCTAGAATGATTAGTATGAGATTTTTTTTTATTCGGAACTGATTTTTCTGCTTACCTGTATTTTAATTCTTCGTTTGCTAGAGAGAAGTGGTCATACAATGAATATGCCTCATTTCCTTCCCAGTCTTTCAGGTGTATTTTAAGAACATACCGCTTCTGATTAGTCAGTTGAGAAACAAACTCATTTCCCAGCCAGTACTCCCCAGCAGGATCACCAAATCCCTGTAATTCAAGTTGTATATTTAAATAGCTTTTCTTTGGTTTTTCTTTGAGTTTAAAATGATAACTTTATCAGTTTTTAAGTTTAATAGCTTTCAATCTGTCAACTAAGAATTTTACTGTGTCTGTGAGGGTTATAGATCTGCAATATTTCAAAAAGTTAATTTCAGTAAAGACAAACTCAGGAATCTGAAATAGTGAATCAGTATTACTTAGTAGATTTGGTGATGTTTCTACTGTTGCCACTAGAAACACAAATATAAATAACTCAAAAATGTGGACATATCATGGAACAGTTGATTAAAGAAAAGTGAGGTTTCTCTTTAAAAACAAACATCACACTTGCAAGTCTGCTGAAGCAAACAGCTTCTACTATGACATTCCTAAATGAACATTTAAGGACAAAGACAACTTCTAAAACCTGCTTACGTTCTAAGGATGCTATTAATATTACCTTGTTATATCAGATTTCAGATAATAATAACTAATATTTAGGCTTCAGAAAACATTGTTTACCATCTTGTACTCTTTCCATGTCCGGTGAAAGTCCACACTGCCGTCCTCACGTCTCTGAATAACGGTCCAACCGCCTCCACCAGTTTCCATGTCACAGTAGGCCTACCAGAGTAAGCATGTGACACTGTAAGTGCATGCAGTCATGGGAAAACCAAAATACAAAGCATGTACTTTGCATAATTCTGTAGGGGCAAATGTATCCCATACCATCTCTGTGTTACACTCACCCGTTGTGCCCTAATAAAATATACATTGTCTCTGCTGGGGAAAAAAAATTATTGTTTTAAGAAATAGGTGAAAAATGGAGCAAACATTATTTTCTGAGTGAAATGAAAAAATGCCATACTTTGTATGAAATAAGGTCATGCATCTACACAGTCTAGAATGATTAGTATGAGATTTTTTTTTATTCGGAACTGATTTTTCTGCTTACCTGTATTTTAATTCTTCGTTTGCTAGAGAGAAGTGGTCATACAATGAATATGCCTCATTTCCTTCCCAGTCTTTCAGGTGTATTTTAAGAACATACCGCTTCTGATTAGTCAGTTGAGAAACAAACTCATTTCCCAGCCAGTACTCCCCAGCAGGATCACCAAATCCCTGTAATTCAAGTTGTATATTTAAATAGCTTTGCTTTGGTTTTTCTTTGAGTTTAAAATGATAACTTTATCAGTTTTTAAGTTTAATAGCTTTCAATCTGTCAACTAAGAATTTTACTGTGTCTGTGAGGGTTATAGATGTGCAATATTTCAAAAAGTTAATTTCAGTAAAGACAAACTCAGGAATCTGAAATAGTGAATCAGTATTACTTAGTAGATTTGGAGATGTTTCTACTGTTGCCACTAGAAACACAAATATAAATAACTCAAAAATGTGGACATATCATGGAACAGTTGATTAAAGAAAAGTGAGGTTTCTCTTTAAAAACAAACATCACACTTGCAAGTCTGCTGAAGCAAACAGCTTCTACTATGACATTCCTAAATGAACATTTAAGGACAAAGACAACTTCTAAAACCTGCTTACGTTCTAAGGATGCTATTAATATTACCTTGTTATATCAGATTTCAGATAATAATAACTAATATTTAGGCTTCAGAAAACATTGTTTACCATCTTGTACTCTTTCCATGTCCGGTGAAAGTCCACACTGCCGTCCTCACGTCTCTGAATAACGGTCCAACCGCCTCCACCAGTTTCCATGTCACAGTAGGCCTACCAGAGTAAGCATGTGACACTGTAAGTGCATGCAGTCATGGGAAAACCAAAATACAAAGCATGTACTTTGCATAATTCTGTAGGATAGAATCATAGAATGATTTGGATTGGAAGGGACCATTAAAGATCATCAAGTTCCAACCCCCCTGCCCTGGGCAGGGACACCTCCCACCAGACCAGGTTGCTCCAAGCCCCATCCAGCCTGGCCTTGAACCCCTCCAGGGATGGGGCAGCCACAGCTTCTCTGGGCAACCTGTTCCAGTGCCTCACCACCCTCACAGGAAAGGATTTCTTCCTGATAGCTAATCTAAATCTACCCCTTTCAATTTAAAACTATTACCTCTCAAATCTAAATCTACCCCTTTCAATTTAAAACTATTACCCCTCATGCGGTCACTACACTCCCTGACAAAGAGTCCCTGCCCTATATAGTGGCATATTATAAAGTAAGTGCAAAATGTGTATTAACCTAAAAATGCTGGTTTTCATAGCTTTCATACAAATCAATTGTGGTTGTCTACAAATAAATGTGTTTCTTAAGTATATATCATGCTTAACAAAATACAAATAACACCTTAAAAATAGCTGATAACTGGAGTTAAAGGAAGAAAGAAATTAATGTCGCTTCTGAGACTATACTTCCCTCTTGGACTGATATTTTTGTGAGTTGCCTGATTAAATATTTTTCCTGAAAGATGTTTTTACTTCTCCAGGTTTTTTTTGAGAGAGCCGTTCAAATTTCCCATGGTTTGTGAGAGTTAAATTCAACAAGTGAGCAATCTGAAATATGTTTTTATTACCTTTGTCATTGTCCAATACCTTTTCAGATGGTCTGACCCCAAAATTGAATCTAGGTATAGAACTACTATTATCTGAAAGTTAAATCTTGAAGCCATGTTATTATATGTACAGACCGCAATGAATAGCTTATGTTTTAGAACAAAAAAGTAACAACTACAAGATGTTTTCAAATATTCATAAAATCGTCTTTGATTTTACCAAGTTATTGCTAAACATTTGGACATTCTCAAAAATAATTGAAAAAGTAGGACTTCAGAGAAGCCAGAGTTTCCTCCTGTCCAGTGGCAGTGTTTTGTGTCATTTTAGGAAGTAAAGTGTCCTCCTTACTAAGTTTTCAATGTATTTGGCTCTTTTTGGGCATGCATGTATTTCTGGGCATGTCTGCTTTATGTATGCTATAAACGCGTGTACACACATATTTATATAAATCAAATGGTATTTACAGTGCAAGCAGTAGCATATATAGTATTCAAAGGCATCAGACTTTTGAAAGGAAGGAAAGCCCTTAGAGCTGCAAATATTTACATATTAGTTTTTCCATGGGCTTTAACACATTGGAAATCCAAAGCAGACACTGTATTTAAAGGTTGTATCTAGACTCTTTGTTCAACATCACAGAATTGTGAGACATTCAACTAGAGATTTTTAGGAAAGATAAAAGAAATAAGGAAAAGAGTTGGATTAGGGATTACTGTTAAAGTATGTCACATAAACGGAATTTAATTGAAAGCCACAACTTTAATTTGCACTGATGTATGCTATTACTTGTGCCTCAAAGCCTGTTTTTTGTTTGTTTTTACTAACCTCTGTATTTAATGTTTGGTGGAGATTTGGTAATATCATATAAATTCAATTTGGTAATACTATATAAATTCAATTTAGTAAAAATGAAAAATGCCCTGAAAAGGAAAGGCTGAAGATAAAGTATTGTAAAAGATGATCTATCTGTTTGAGAGAGCTAACTCGTGATGTGTAATGCATATGTGAAAATTAATTTTCACAGGAGGCTATGAAAAGGGATACTAGGGATGGGCTAAAGCAGATGTATATATTTCTATTAGCATCGCTACAAGTTAAAACGATTATTTAGCAGTTGTCAGATATCATTGGTTGTAGAGAAAGTTGTTGACTCTGAAGCTTCACCCCACTGAAAGGACAGTATAAGCAGCCAGACTGAGAATAGAACTGTTTTACCTTTCTCTGAAACATGTAGTTTTTAACTACATAGAGGGAGGTCGGGGATTAATTTACATGGGCCACTGGTCCAGTCTGATACGCTATTATAGATGTTAAATGATGTTCTTGAATGTTATGTGCAGGTTCCTTGATGCCTATCACCTAAATTTCAATTCAGTTGGAATTATTACTTTAAATGCCTTGAAATAGCACTTTATTTAGTTCTAATGAGATTAAAATATTCTCAAACAGTGAATGACTGTGAATGTCTTACATAAAATATTCCTATTACAGCCAGTATCCATTTCTTATATGAATGGTAAGACAACCAGCTTTTGTAGACGCTACAGACTCTTTGAGATAAATGCTGGTGTACTTCAAATTTGTTACCCAAAGGGGGAAGCAATTTAGTAGGAACCGAAGTCCATAAAAATCTCATGTAAATTTTTCTTACCAGTAACTATTTTTAAAAGTTTATGTAAATTTGGAAGTAGTTTTTCCACATCAAAAAAAATTCATGTAAGTCATGTGTAACGTTCCTAAAAGATGCCCGTTTTATGGCGTTGGAAAGGAAAATCCTTTTCTTTCCTAGATGGAAAGTGTGGCACAGGCGAAGGGAATGCACTGGTTACGTCATCTCCTTCTAGTATCATAGTAACTGCTTTAAAAGCTGAGCAAATTACTGTTGTTGGAGATTTCAGCATATTGTTTCTAACTGTTGCACTTCGTGGTTGGACGCTTGCTTCCTTGAACTAGCTAAAAAGTGAAAATTCTTTTTACCACCTATTAAGTCAGCGTCATAGAGTAAAATGTTTTGCTTTCAGGCTTGATTGGCAACCTTGTCATTCAAGCCCTCACATGTGCAGCTTTGCTCATGAAATCATTCCTTTGCTTTCCAGATAATTTCCCTAGAAATCAGTTATCTGACTAAACACAATGAAAATACTTACTGTATAACCAGGAACTTCAAATCTACATACACACTTGTTTTTTTAATTTGGGAAAAATTCAAGTCAATGGAAAAAAAATGGCAGTAAAGATCACAGAAAGAAAATTAATTAAATTAGTTGATCTATTTTTATTTCTTTTTACTAAAATACTTCAGTGAATGACGTATATTCATAAGTAATTCTAAGGATGGAGACAGGCTATGCAGTAAAATGAAGATTAAGAAAAGGATTTGCTTAGTTTAAAATAAACACAATAAATTGCTGTGTCAGTCTGCAGAGGGAACAATTTCGTCACGATGTATGTGAAAGATGAGGGCAGAGAAAGCATTTATTTGGACTGTAAATTCTTTTTTAAAAAAAAAAAACTTCACTGTCCAGTAAAATGATATGCATATGAGGCTTTCTCTAACACTCATTACTAGAACAGAACTCTTCTGACCTTTCAGCCTAGCCTAGGTTTTATATTCAAAAGGAAGAAATGTAACATTTCATAAAATTAGTAAAAATAGATACCAAGATTAGGCAGGCAGCAGGAGTCTTCAAACAGATGCCAAAAAGAATAAAGAGATTAGCCTCTCAAATTACAACAAATCGGCAGGGGGAATATTTGAATTGTCTTGTGAACTGCTTCAGTACTTACAGTTCTAGCAGCTGTAGCACTGTGAGAGCTAAGGTCAGCTCTTTATATTGTTCACCTTCAGCTAAAGATCAGCGCTGTATTTTTGAAAATACTGTAAAGTACATGTAATCAGGACTAGTCCCCTTTCCAAAAATGGTAAGCGCATAAGCTGTGAGCAGTCAACTTGGTGTCTCTGTTGTCTAGGAAGCTGACCTTCAGAGCAAGTAACTTTTTTTCTTATTTCTTGTATGTTAGGATGCTTGGGGTATAAGTGTTTTCAGACCTACTTTCTGAATGATAAGGCTCTGGTTGAGTTATCAGGATGAAGATGCACTACAATTTTTATGGCAGAGCGAGTGCGGTTGCCGCATCTGGGCAGTGTCCCTTTGCATCACTTCTGGCTGTCATCTGAACACTTTTGAGTCATGATGCTCAGTGATTTTGTATTCTGCTATTTCCAGCTCTAGAGATGTGACTAGATGTGAATTGCAGTCTTCGTTTCCTTGGTGTGGAAAAAAAATAATTGTACGCATGGTTTATAATGTATTTTAACCTAATACCAGTTACCAATGAAAAAGACAGATGATGAGACTTCTGAAATTCACAACCTCATCCGACCTGCTACAGTATCGGAGAAGCTACACATATGTTCTTTTTTAGTTCTTGGGGTTGGAAACAATTTGTGTATGTGTATTTTAGATACACGCCGTAGTCCACGGCGTGGGCTCCTTTTGAAATGACTAGCTAGATGTCTGGGTGACCATTTCTTAGGGAAGTTATGCAAACTCATTTTGCTGGTAAATTCAAACTTGTCCAAATCACTTTCTGCAAGAAAGTTCTGGTTAAAAAGACCTTGGCTTGGAATTTGTGTCAGTTCCAGGATGAAAATCCAGCTCAATGGGGGTGGAAATGGGGAAGAGCTTAGGTACTGCTTCAGCCACTATTGTAAGATTTGGGGTAATATGTTGGTAATGCTTGTAGTAACAGATGAGCTAATAAATGAGGGTCATCCAGACTCAACTATTCTGCCTGGTTAAGACCAGGAGGTTAATTGGTTCAGGTGACTGCTGCAAACATGAAGCTATTGACTTTCCATGAGTTTGCCTCTGCCATTTTTCCTTGTGTCAGCAGTCTTTTGCTGTTTTTCCTCAGTGTTTTTGAAAGGACTTAGCTTTTGTCCTGTTGCAGAACAGGAAAGCTTGAGAGCTTGAAAATATTAACGGAATGGAATAATTGTTTTCCTCTCGGTTCTCGTATCCAATTCTTTAGCTTTGGATCATGATGGGAGACAATTAGTAAAGTGGGATAAGTTACAGATTACACAGAAGTTGTTTATAAGCCTGTTGGGAGGTCAGGAGGTGTTACAAGAGGAAAAGACGAAAACATAAACAGCAGCACAGCACTTTTGGCAAATAAAAAAGGTCATTCTGTTTCCTGGTCCGAATGGCCATCTACATCATAAACAGTTGAAAATGGTGTAACGTGTTGATTATCCCTAAACCTTTACTTCCCTTGACAGCTCCTCTTAAGCATTTGTATTTGTATAAAAAGATCTGCATCAGATTAGAACTTTTTAGTCTCTTATTTTTCATGTCATATAGTAAGTAAAACCTTTGTTGTCTTTTAAAGAGTCTTTTTCATTCTGAGGTGGGCAGAATAAGATTTAAATTTGTTAATGTTATTAAATGAATTGCTAATTTAATTAAAGTATTACATTTTAACTACTTTTTTTAACCTAGTCAATTACCAAAACAGGTATTTTTGTTAAGTGTTTTAGGCTTCCGTGTCCAAATGTAAAGGATTTAAGATTTTATAGTCTAGGAAAATTTGCAATTGTAGTGTTGTTTCAGGGATAGAATATTTTGGTAGGTTTTAGTTTTGTAGAAATGTGCATTGCTCTGGCTTCTCAGATCATATAAATTGCCTAAACATTTATGGCTTTGACAATGCAGTGTTGGAGTTTATGACAGAAATTTTCATTCTGTAATATGGCATGCACTTGTGTCTGCTTTTAGATGTGCATGCTCTGTATAATATATTTGACAGTAAAATTAAAAACTAAGGTAAAAGCTTGAGACAAGCAGTATTAAGAAATTCAAGGAATGTAACCCTTCCTGAGATGTTTAACAAAGACTGCTGCCATCTTTTGCTTTAGAGATGTAGCAGCTTACATCTCTTTTAGCATTTGAAATTGTGACTGTAGATATTTTTCCTATTTGAATACCAAGCTGCTTCATATCTAATAAAGCACTTTGTTGCATCTTATGTAACTGATTTTCCTGTGAAACAGATGTATTGAATATAGACTAGACTATTCCAAAGGAAAACCAGCCTCCCTTTTTTTTCTTTTCTTTCCCAAAAGAAGCAGATTGCAGATATCATCATTTCTCTAGATGGTATCTGCAAAAATTCCAGGGTTTATGTATTGTATTTTATAGATCTTATCCAAACAAATTGCTTATTTCCTTTAGTTGAGAGCTTTGTAAGGGTAAAGATCGCAAAGTCTGGCTTAGGGTAGATGAAGTTCCGGCACTTCAAAGACTAGTCACTGGTGAACTTACTTAATTTCTAAACCTTTGCTATCAAAACTTGGGGGAAAAAATGCTTTCCCTGTCAGAGTTTTACCAATTGTTTTTCCACATGTGCCTTCATTTTTCTCTGCTTTTGTACATTTTCTGTTAGGTTTTTTCCCCAAGTATTTCTGATATAATAAAGTAGAGCCTTAGGAATTCCATAAAAAACTTCACTTTTTGTAAGGAAATGTCTTCAATATGAAATTATAAAATAAAAACATTACAAAACTATTTAGTGTTTGTCTAAGAAATATATTAAGCATTTTTGTTTATATTCAAATGTCCCTTAGCCTCCTCAGTGTGCTGTGTCTGAGAAGTTGGAAGCAAACATTCATCACCTGAGCTCCACTCCTCAGAATGCTCACTGCAATTTTTGATTCTTTATCCTCACAGTCCACCTGGGACTTTCCTCCCTTTCAGATTTTATTGATTGTTTCAACCGAATTATACTATCTGAAGCCTTCTAATTTTATTTACTTCAGTAGATGGAGCGTTTCTACCAGGCATCCAGTGTTTCATCCACTGAGTGCCATTTTTAGCTCAAGGCCCCTTCTGTAGAGGTATGCTGTATTGCTTTAACTTAAATTGACATTAAAGTTCATTTCAGTTAAACACAGAGGGGAAAAAAATATCCACGGAGGAATTTAAACTGACCTAGTGACACCACTGCAAACTCTCACCTTTTATTTAAATCAGAACAATATTTTCTAGGAAAGTCTTCTCTGTTACCCAGTGTCAGTTGTGGGGATCTAATTGCTAATCTAATTGTTATACAAATGCCCTTAAAACTTTGTATAACAAGGAACTGGAACCCATACACGAATCTAGTACTGGTAGATTGCTTACAGTAATACAGATCCATGTATTCTTGCATGCCCCTGATTTTACCTCTTTTTGCCACCTGAAGGGACTTGGGCATATGAAGGAACTCAGAGGAGACAGGAGATTGCTGATCATGCAGAGCAACTGTGTTGGAGTTAGAGATCTTAGGAAAAAATTCTAGTACTGTATTGCTTTAATAGTGTTAATTATGTGGAAACGAGGAATGAAATTCTGCTGTGCTGAAGTGAACAACAAAATGCTCATTCATTTCCATGGAGCCAAGATTTCACCTGAAGGACTTTCCTCTCCCTGTGAGATACTCAGATCTATAAGTGATGAAATGCTCATAAAAAACATGGTAAGTAAGAAACTTCACTATCAACTAACATTTAAAATAGCATATTTGCCAAATCAAATAACTTTTTAACACACACTATGCCTATGTAGCACTTTACAGGCATCCTACCTTCTTTTCTTGTGCGGTGTTTGGAACTGTTAAAGTGTAGATTCCACTTGTTGTCAGTCCAGATTTGAAAGCTTCAGCACAGTCTTTGAAGCTGATTTGCTCCTCTTTAGCTATGAAGTTGTTCTTAGCTGCTAAAAATACAATAGAAATTGAAGGCATTAGAGGAGATGAATAGAAGTTACTGAGAAGCAATAAATTATGTACTCAGCTTAAAGCAGTTCTGAAAAATACACCTGGACCTGAAAGAAATGACAGATTGAGGTATTAATTATGTGTGTTGTTACTTTATATTATTTAGAAACATTATTCTGAGACGAGCGTGTTTGCTTGATAGGCTGAAAAGTGCTGACACATTACAATTTTGAGTAAGAAAACTTAGGATACAGCATCTCATTCAGCTGAGCACTTTCTGCTTCCATTCATTGCCTTTGCTGGCCTCCTGCGTGCATTGCAACCTCTGCATGCATTACTGCTATTACAAACATACCTAACTAGCAGCTGATGATATTAATAATGACTTTTGGCCAGTACTCTCATACTGTGAAATCTAACATAAGAGTCATGAAATCTTTTCTAATACAGCTGATGGGAATACTAATACTCTTACGAAGTTTTAGCTAGTTTTTTTTTGCCCCTGTGCTGAGCGATGAAATCTTTTCTAATACAGCTGATGGGAAAAACTACTCTTACAAAGTTTTAGCTAGTTTTTTTTGCCCCTGTGCTGAGCAGGAACAACTTTGTATGCACCAAGCTGAAGCTTGGTAGCTCAGCCCAATCCACTACGAAAACATCCCTTCTGGAATTCATTTGTGTAAAAAAAATACATTTTAATATGCCTAAGCCTTCTTATTTTACAGAACAATCTAAGGCTCATCTTTTTGTTCAGTTCTTTATTAACTATGGAGGTTGGAATTTCCTGGCATTTCGCCTGCTGACTGATATTTCATATTTGACCCTTTTGGGGTTGGTTCTGTGTATTTTCCCTTTTAATTTAATCTAACAAACACGGCCAGTTAGTACAAAGTTTTAGGTGTCATATAAATACATGCTTATATTACAGTTGCTTATTATGTTCTTTTTAGCGTGCTTATTCATTATTTACCTGTTTACATGCTTTGCCTTAAATATAAAAATAACACATTCAGTGTTTTAATTGCTTTTCCACACTCTATTGTTTGTATACCGTCTTAGAAGCTTTCCCTGCTAATTTTGTCTTTTTGGCAAACATTCATTATTTTTTCCACTCTGGGTTTAACAGTGTTGTAGCCAACATGACTTTGACTTGTTTACTTATTTGTGCACTAGCATAGCAGATAACATCAGCAGGAACATGTACAGCCTTGGTAATGGTATTTAAGGGGATAGTGTTAGTTACTAAGACAAAAAACTCGGGCTTTACTTTGTTGAGAAAAACCTACAACATCGTATAAGTTAGGACACTACTGAAAGCGAGGACTTCCAAACACCTTTTTCCTTTTTTGTGATCCAGTTTACAGTAATGTAGCATAGTCCATCTGTACCGTCTTTTAAGTTGTAATGAAAACTATTTTAAAATTCTCCTAGCATTTTATTTTAAGTCCTTTTTTTAGAGGTTCTATATGCTTTTGTATTTCCAGCCCTGAGAGCTTTAAAGCGAACATGTCAGATTCTTTACTCTTTTATATAGAACAGCTATACCTTCTTAATTTGTCAAAGTTCCGTATTAGACATGAAATTCAAGGTAAGGAATTTGTTCATTTGCTTAAATCATGTTCAGCCATAAATTTCAGTTTATGGTTTGTGTGGTTTTTTATGGAGCATGTGAATCTGCATAAATTTGGAAGCCATGCTCGGTGGCTATGATTTGTTGCAGGGCTGTCAAACATTTAGGGGTGAGATTACAGCCTATAAAATTTGCTAGGCTGAGGGATTTTTAGGATGAACAGGGAAGCTTTACTGAAAGACTGGAGGACTTTTGGGAGTCCCTGCTGCCCTGGGCTGGGGCTTTCTGCAGTTTGGGGCATACGTAGGTGCTAAAACCTGCGCCAACGCTGATTGTGTTGCCTTTAATAGCCACTGTAGTTTATCCTTTGATCAGCTGTATGTGCAGAGAGCAATGAGAGGTGGCAGAAATAACTTTTGCAAGCCAGGAAGAAAAGCTACAGGGCTTACATGATGCAGTCTAACCCAGGTACGTGCTCAAGGGAGTGTGTGTTGCCAGGTGAATGAATGTCATGTGAGATCAATGATACTTGGCATCTCTTTGTTTTGTTGAACCGCTGAAGAAGTGGGCAGGCAAACCAATATAAACCACAGGAGACAAGCAAAATGTTGAAAAGAAACCACATAAATATTGTGGTTGTTCCCCCCACCCCTACCCCTAAAAAATAGGACAGTTAACTCGCAGAATTTAAGGCCAAAAAAAAAATCATACTTTTTGAGAAGCAGAAGCATGAGGAAACAGGCTGTAAGTCTTTATGGGTAATGATAAACACAAATTAGGGAATGTCACTCAAGTGATATAAGCATGTCTGCTTTTACTTACAGTTTGGTGTAGATATCATAGTAAGCAAGTTATGAACAGTCTCCATCAGATCATGTTGCTGTTTTTGCAGAACTGAGTTGTTTACTGTAGCTGTAACTAACTGCTTTTCTAGTTCTTCTATAATAGAATTCTGCCTGGCTACTAGGACTTGAAGCTGATCTTTTTCATCTTTTATTGACTTCAGCTGAAGTGTGTGCTTGTCTTCCATCTCAAGAACTCTTTTTTCTAGAAAGCTAAACAAAAGTTTACAGTTAGGCTCTCAAAAATATTTGTGAGTTGATGTAAAGAGAATCAAGGCTGTTGCAGAAGTTTCTTTCTTCATAAGTACTCAACTTCATTCTCTGATGCTGTGCATGCAGAAGAAAGCTAAATGAAAGCTGAGTTTAGTTTGATATATGTGCTTTAATTTATTATATAACTAATTGGTGCATTAATTAACAGCATTATTGAGTATAGCCTGTATCGCAGGCTTTTAAAGTGTAACAGTTGGGTGTCTGATAATTCAGTGTTATGAAAGGAAAGACACAGTTTGGTTCTGAAAAAAGAACAGTAGTGCTGGAAGTACAGGGAGTGTAAAATGGATCTACACCCAAAATAACCATTCTTTCACAGGTTAGACATAATAGTGAAAGAATTCATGTTTTTACCCAGTTTTTAAAAGATGAACCTCATTTAAAGATGAACCTATGAACATTTCAAATGTTCTGTAATTATAATAAAATATATACTTAAATAAATGTTAGGGTATTAAGACAGCAAAACATGTAAAACTTGAAGATGTATTACCCATCTCCAGTTCTGGAGCTGGCGTAAGTGACTGGCTGGAAAATTACTTCATTGGTAATTGTCGTGATGCAGACTTTGAGAAAGCTGATGTTAAAAGATGCAGGGCTGGAAATGAAAAGTTCACCTAAAATCCATTACTGTTACTGAAAAAAATCCTGAACCCTGTAATTATGTTTCAAGCAGATTAGCTCGATTTCAGATCATTTTTGCTAGGTGAGAAATAATGCTTTTGTGTTTATGTGGGTTTTACAGGGGTCTGCTGAGTTCAAAACAAAAAAAGAAGTGACATTTTAAAATTCAGTATTTACTCTGCTTTCCATTTGATAAGGATGCTTGTTTTTGTTAAGCTGGTAGATAAAATCTTTAGGGAGCATATATAAATGTAGTATAGTAGTGAACAAAAATGTCAAAACATGTCTCCTGGTTTTTTTAAGCTAATTCTTTTAAAATAAAAAGCACTTTGCGCATATGGTTCTCATTGAAAAACATGTCTTTGAAGGAGAAAGCTTACTGTTATTGCTCCTTTTAGATTTCTCTGTGAACTATTTATTGCCAAAGGTAAAGTAAGACCCTGGTGATATGAAAATGAAACTAGCTGAAAAAAGGTATGAGCCTTTGGACAACAGCTGACTGCAGAAATGGACAGGAGTAATAGTTGGTTATCAGTCTGAATTTCAAAAGATTGATTAGTAAGGAACGTTGAATATGAGTAGTAGTTGACTTTTCTCACCAGGTTAGAAAAAAAAATGTGGTAATGACATGACTGCATATTAGGATAGTACAAGGCCTTATTTTCCTACTTGAGTATATTTCTTTCTAAAACCATTAGAAGGTCACTTCAGGGAATAGTGTTTTATAGGTTTGATAGGCAAACTTACCTGTTTTTTTCTTGCAATTTAGTTATCTCGTTGGTCTGATCTGAAATCTGTCTTTCTAGTTTGTTTGTTGAAAGAGAGTGTTCCAAAAGCTGAAGTTCAAGTCTGGTCGTCTGGTTTAATACCTAAATAAAATTTATAAAAATATTTGAAAATCAGTACACTTCCTTTAAATAAACTGTAACTTTTTAATGTGGTGGAATTATGCAAGTCTCTACTTAAGCCTGTAATTAAAAAAATATTTTTGAACATTTAATTTGTGCACAAATGCTGATAGAATTAGAATGAAGTAGAACACACAGATTTGCACCAATTTTGTTGTTACACTACCATATATCATTGGAAGTATTTCAGTAGTATGCTACAATCAACGGCTGAGAGTTACTGTGGACTTTAGTCTTGCTGTTATACCTTCCCTGCTGTTATCATATTCTTATTTCATTACTGGAACTATTATGGTTGTTGTTCAGAGAATAATTTGATTTGTTTTCTCAGTCTGGTGTAGAAAGTAAGTACTTTGTGTACCTCTCCCTGGTTGAAATCTTGGCCCAGTCCTGAAATCACTAGTTAGTTCCCTCAGCTATTTTCCTTAATCCCAAATGATGTCATGTGAACCACACTTCTGTTGATTCGTTCCTTGCATTTTAATGTTACCTTTTCTGTATGTATTGTTTACTGTCTAAATTTATTTGTATCTTTAAATGAAGGAATGCGAGTATTAGGAAACGTGGAAGACAGTTTTTTGTTTGTATTGGATTACATTACTTTGAGGCAAGTCTTCTAGAAATATTTTCTCATTGTTTTAGAACACCTTTTTTTAATTCAGTAGAACTTGGCTTTCCTCGGCAGGAAGAATTGATTACTCATGTCCTTCATGTTTAACAGTCATTCAGGACATGATTTCACACTTAAGTGTAATTGAAAACTATTGCCAAAAGTAAGTGTCCTTGAGAGAGCAATTGTTTGGTTAATTTCCTTATGTTGTTAATTAAGCCCTTAACCCAGTCACCAGTAATTTCAGAGAAGAAAAATTACAGTGATGATTTTCTTCCTCTAAGCAGAAAATAATTGAATAATTTCCATGGAGACATTGCTGCGAATGAATAAATACATTCTCTGAACATGTGCAAAATACTGGGCTCCTGGATAATGCAATCAGAAAGTTGAATTCAGTACGCCTGTGAGCTATGAACTACCAGTTTATCGAAGAGTTCACAAAGGCTTGGTTTGGGTTCAAAAAATAATTTAATTAATTGGATTATTTCTACAGATAGTTAAATGTCTAACAAGGATTTTAGGTTTTGCATGCTGTGAACATTATATAAAATGTTATGTGCTGCACGCTATATTCATTATTTGCTTTGGGAATTACACGTCTGAATTTTCCTACCATGTTAGCGACGCTACAAATACATACCATTCTACATTAATTGGACTTGTCCTTACTTAAAACCTGCATTCTGTTTCACAGAATGTCTTACTGTAGTTAGTGCTTTTTAATTAAAGCAATAATTAAACCCATTAATATTTTTTGTTTGAAATAATTTAGAGAATAATATATAGAGTAGCAAGTTTATTTCTATGTGAATACACTTTTCTAGTAACCTTCTCCTAATTCCTTTTTTTCTTGATTCATCTCTGATTTATTTATTTTTCCCTCTGTTAAATAACAATAATATAGTGCATTTTGCTGGAAATCAACTATTATCCCACTTACAGCATCTGTGAAAACATTCATTAAAGAGAGGCATTTTTCTTGATAAGAATCTTAAAAAAAAAACAACAAAGGGAAATTTAAATGTAAAAAACCAATTAGCCTGGTAAATGGAACAAAGGCAGTTTGAAGGAACTCTTGTTTAGCTAAGATCTGGTGGTGAGAGGTGAATAACAACAGAGGTACACAACGAGGGCTGTATAAAAGCATATTAGTACCGAAGTGATGCTTGGATATAGTATATACTAGTATATACTAGTTTTGATGAATGTAGCATGAAGTATGCTAGACATACTTCAAATCCTGCTGTAATGGAAGTCTGTTGAGCAACAACAGTGAGCTTGAGATGGAACTATGTATTACCAAATACTAATGTTTCCTTAAGATGGGTAGACTGTTGGTTATGATTGACTTCTAATTGTTGAACTGAATAGTGTTAAATGTATAGTTGTAGGTGTTTGGGAAGCAGAAGCATTTTTAGGTTGAAATTCATTACTTACTTGTGCTTCAACATCTGTTAATTTGCGGGTCTGTTCAGCTGTTTGATTTAGTAAGTTTGTGCCTATTTCAATCATTACTGCAGTCTGGTTCTGCACTGCAGTTTGCTGGATCTCTACCATTTCTTTCTTCATACTGTCTTGGATGTAATTCTCAAGCTACATGGGAAAGGAAAGAGAGAAGATAGTTGCATTCTTTGAATGTTGGGGGGGAGGGGGTAGTACAGTAAGCCTGCCGGCTGCCTTGCTAAACAAATGTGTTCCTTGTCCTTGTCTGTTATGCATTTATGTGAAGTTTCCCAATGTTAAGCTCTGGGAGAGGAAAGGCATATATGACAAGGAATGTGTGGCCACCCATCTTCTACAGGCAGGAACAGAGATTTGCAGGAGGTAGGTAGAAGGCACGGTGGCCAGAATGCTGGCGGGCGCTTGGAAGCTTTTCTGCCTTAGTGCTCCCACCATTGTAACCATCAGAGAAGCTTCACCAGCTTTGGCAGCAATGGGAAATTTTTTAGAAGACAAAAGCTTAGGAGTTTAGTCATCTTCCTGTATCTAGACTTAAATATTTCCAAAAGCATTTTTCATCACATGACTAGAAGTCAGAGAAGAGGTCAGATGTCATCTAACACTCTTATGCGCACATTTTTATCTGAGAGAATTTCAAATAAAGACATGAAACAGTAGGAAAACCTATAAATACTTTAAATGCTTAATATTTAGGAATGCAAAAACTGTTTTAAATACTTGATTCTGAAGTCATTTATGTGTCTAAACTAGTAAGGCTTTTTTGATGGTCATTTTATAAGAGTACACTGCTCTGTTAGGAAAGCAAGGAGAAAATAAGTAGGAAGGAAAAAATTCAAGTAACCTTTCTTGAAGTCTTTCTTTCCATGTGTCCAGATTATTCAAAAGCAGTCTGACTTTTCTCCATGCTTCTTTAATATAATTTTCTCAATAACTTTGAAAATATTTCATGTTTCTTCAATGAGTCATTGCTTACGTTTGAAATCTTAAAAATAGAGGCTACCCAATTTCTTTTTTTCATTGACTGGGGAAATTTCTAGAAACTTCTAGAAACTTCGAGAATCAAATTTCTACTTCAACATTGTTCTAACAAGAGAACCATAATCATTTTTGAGCTTCATGTTGTACCTACAAAGAGGATACTAGCCAATAACAAGTAACTAGTGTCACCAAGCACAAATTATAAAACATCACCAATTCCTAATCTAAGAAAAATGGTAAAACATGTCAATATCTGGAATTTTTTAAATATTATTTTGATAATGCTATCTTGATATGAATAATGGTTTGTAGTGAGGAGGAGCTGTAGCTGTTACTGTATGGCTACTTCCCATATCAGTGAGGAAAAAGACTTAATATTCTATCAAACCACTGTTCAGATATAGCTGGTCAGAAGTGGAATGGCTAAAGATCAACTGGCAGATCTATCAGCTTGGAATGTTTCCCCCTTAAATATTATTTAAGCAAGGATTGGATTATTTTTTTTTTCCTGACTTCACAATTGTTTTTTTAAAAGTGGCAAATGAAGAAAAGAGAGTGTATCAAGAAATTGAAACCTCTAAAACTGGAAGTATATTCTCAGTTTGAAGTAAGCATTATTACTTCTTGTCCGGTGTGACCAAACTTTCAAAGCAGTATTTGTGCGTTCGCTCCATTTCACCCGTGCAGCTGGGGAATTGCAACGCACAACAGAGATTTCAGGCCTGGCACAAGCTTTGACCCACATCTACTATACTGCTGTGTAAGAGTGCTTACTTTTCAGGTGTACCACACGGATTTAAAACTAGCCTTTAGACAGCCTTTAGATGCTCTTTGCATAACACCTTTTTGAATGCTAAAAGTAAGCATACAATCAACTAGGATTTGGCGTGATAATTTAATGTGAGTGTCTTCAATCTCCATCCCACTATGGCAATTAGAGTTGTTCCCTATTCGGAGGATCAGTTCTTAAGGGTTACCTTTTGCTCCTGGATATTCCTCATTTTCAAAAGCTTCCCCACGCAGAGACAAATCTAATTTGACCAAACACGTTGGATTTTTTTTCAAATCTTCGTGACATTTTTTAGGTCAGCTGCTTCTTTTCTGCTGAACTAAGATCTGTGGCTTTTAATTATGTAGCAATGGTAAGATATCTTTGGTCCTTAATGATTAGGCTATGAGATGTTGGAGTAAAGCAATAATTTAATTTTAAAAGCCACCATAGTCTGAGAAGCTACACAAAATTCTGAAGGCTTTTATATAGATAAAAAAAAGAAATTTTTCAGTGAAGTTAGATGCTGCTCCATGAAGACCATGAACAATTAATGTGTGTCCCTCTGAAAAAGCTAGAGGTCTGGAGATTAAGCAATTTATATGAATCCAAATTAACTTTAGCAATTGAAGCGGGAGAACGGAGCATCATTGTAGAGAACTTGGAAAAGACCTTTGCTCAAATGCATCTCCGTTAAAAGAAAATGAAGGGAGATCTCCAGGATGCATTTTATTTGCCTCGGTACCACAGCCAGGTATTGTAATGCCTTTATAAAGATCAAGGATATGGCCTTGCCCAGCAGACTGAATGCACATCTGCAGTTAGAAGGGACATTGGAAAAAAAAAAAAGGGACATACAGAGGAAAAGAAAGGAGTGAGACAGCTCAGGTATCAGAGAGCTACCATATGAGAAAGCACTGAAACTATTTCATCCTCTTTCATTTAGAAAAAAGGCTCACAAAAAAAAAAGGCAATAAATAGATGAGCAAAGAAAGATTGATCAAGAGCTTTGATTCTTTCATAGAATAATTGTGGATATTAAACCTCATTTTTCAAGGTTGGTTCCTTGTTCACTAGAGAGACATAATCTGACAGAATCACTGAGCAAAGTCATCTCTGCAAATAGGATTACAGAACTGCATGACTTCTTTGAAAATGTTATCACTGAGTTATTCCAAAACACACTACTAGAAAAGGAGTTAATTCTGGTCTTAAAGGTAAGGTAAACATTTTATGGTAGGCTTAGGCAATTGCCCAGTTAAAACACACAGCTGTAAGGTTGCTCTGATTACAGTACGCAAAACCTGTGATTACAATTTGAGGCATCTGGTGGTTCTGGTTGCCAGATTTTTATACCCCTTGTCACTGTGCTTGCAACCTTAGAAAGCAGTTTTGTTGGGCCACACAGATCTGCATTTTCATAATTTATCTTATTTTAAAATCTGTAAGTATAAGCCTATCTCCAAGTACCTAACCCCTTTCAAATAAAATCTCATTTATGTGATGTATTCTCAGTCATTGAAGTATTCTCCTGACTCTAGTTTAACAGTTTGTCTTCACATCTGTTCTTCACCTTAAAAGTATTAAATAAGTAACTTAGGGACTATGGTATTTCTGCTTACTTGAAAACTTGAAATATGAGCATCAAAAGGGATTTATTTTGATTTAAAGCCAGTTTCGTTATCTAGCTCATTTATTGTAATTTAGAGCAACGTGAAATATAAAAATGATATTGACCTATTAAGTGGCTTTGGAGCTGCTTCTGCATTTTCCCCCCCCTAAAAATCCTACAAAGTATGATTACATAAACCCCTTCTGTTCTTTCCTTCATGTTCACTAATCCTCTCCCACTTTTGTGCATTCTCTGCATGTACACGTCTAGAATCTCTTTTCCTGACCTGAGCCAAGATACGCCCTCATCCCTCTTTGCTTATATTCCCCTCTCTCTTCATCATACAATGCAAAACTGTAGAAAGTAAGGACTTTTTATAACTACATTTCATAATTTTTTAGTGGCAGGTGCTTACTTTGGTCTTTCTTCAAAGTTTAACGGAAGAATTACTTTCATCCAAAATGCCAAAATCATCCAAAATCATCTCCCACTGACCTTAGCAAGAGCAGAACATGTTCCCATCGCATACTGTCAAAAAGCGAGGCTCTTGGCTTTCCCTGAGAGGGAGGTGGAAGAAGTTTTTCAATAAAGGCTCCAGTTAAGGCAGCCAAGGCTGAGATTCATCAACACCCCTAAGGATTAGCAGCGATTTTGCAAGACTGCAATTCTTTGTGGCACACTTCTTTGTGGAGTACTGTTCATCAGCTCCGGCCAAGGAGCCTCCTTCCTTTATACACAGTAGCATGCTCAGAATTTCAGAAGGGGGGAGAATAGCTCGGATCATTTACAAGAGGGAAGGGCACAGGAATTAAATGCTTCAGTCCTCATCCATGAGTTCAGAAACTTGGCAGTTTGGTTTGTGCAGCGTGTCTGTCTTCTCCATTATTTTGCTCAAATTTGGAAGGTGCAGCAGGGATTATTTGCCAGGTTTCTCCTTTGCCGCATGGCTTGTTATGGGAAGATAATTTTAAATCTCTTTTTAATTCAATTAATAGCTGGCATATAAGACTTGTGTTGATACACGTTAACCTCAATTACACGATGGTTATTTTGGGCAAAGTAATTGTCAATTGTAGCTGACTATTAGTGATGCATCTTCTTTGAGAAATTCTGCTTTTGAGGGAGTAAGTCAATCAATGAAGCCTATCTTAAGGAAATTGCAGGGGAGAGGGAAAGAGGTGTATTAATATATTCAGATTTGAAGGAAGGAATAGTTTGTTGATAGCATTTCAGTGATACTTCATGGGATTTTTTCATGTTACGATTTATTTTTTGTTTAAGACTTTGGCTGGCATGTATTCTTGAAGAAAGAAAATATAAAAATGAAAGCACAGATGGGAAAAGGCATGTCTCTTAAAGTATGCTTAAATTGCAAAAGCAGCTGGGAAAATTGAAAAAAAATAATTTCACAATTAAGGTTTGTAATATCGTTATGGTGATACATTTTTAGAGAGACAAAATTCTCTAAGGTCATCAATTTGGGGCTTTATTACTTCAAATCATATAAAATCATAAAATTTGATGAAAATACTTGAGCTAAGTTGCCAAAAAAAATGAGGAGAGATCAATCATATTGGAGCACATTCCAAAACATTGCTTTTATAGCCAAGATTGTCTTTTTTTAAGTGAGCTTGAAATTGGCAGGAAAGAAAAGACAACATGTAGAGTATGCGTTAAAAGAAATTTGTTTTCTAACCACTGGCAGAGACAGTATTAATCTTTTATGAATACTTTATGAATGTTGCCAATACTTATTTAAATGAAGAGCCTTCC